AGCATGGCATTCAAGGCCCTACACCTGCCTCTTATTTTATCTCTGATTGCATCACTATGTACATGTTCAGTGCTCAATTATTTGGTAGTGAATTAATTCATTTTGGTTTAATTATGATTCAGGCCCAGCAGGGATCATGGGAAAGTTTACCTTTCAAACCAGATTTGAAAGGTAAAACTGAGTTGCTGATTTCTTTGATCACGCTGCCTTGAGCTAGTCGGGTTAAAAGGGAGAAAGGCTTGGAGAGCTACTTATTCTACCTGCCCCTGGTCAAAGTTTACTCCAGCCTTGGCTGCTCTCCTTTAGCTGAGGGTGCACAATCCAGACTAAGGGACATACCATGAATTGACTGAGGTCTTGTTCTAACTGTGATTTTACATAGCCTTTTTTGTGCTCTGCACTTGTCCATTCACTCGAGCTGACAGCTAACTACTTATTTTTTACCCTTTTAGCTTTACTCATATTTATCCCTTCCCAAATACTCTTCCTTTCCTTTTGAAATCCTAAAAACACTTTGTTCCCTCAGAGAGATTTAATGAAACTTCATCCCATTTGCTTTACAGAATCCATTTTACTCTTTATTGTATTTTAGTTAGTGATTGTTTAACCATGTGTCCTACTATGTGTTAGTGACCTTGTCTGTGCACCATAGCAACATTGGATAGTGCAGAGAGTATAGAAAGTTAATGAAGCTGGTGACTCAGAAACTGAATGAATGACTGTGAAAAATGACCTCTAATTTCTTTCTCACCATCCATATTTTACTTTTTGAAATACTAGAAAAATACGTATATTTATAGAAGCCTCACCTAAACTGAGGTGAATTAATTAAAATATACATTTAAGACATAGGGATCATCTGGTAGTTGTTATGGTGACATATTGAAGCATAGCTTTCGTCTGTTATTCACAGCTATACATCAGAGGAATTATATTTCTCAATGTGTTACTAAAATATTTTTATTTCATTTACATTCATTCAAAGAGAATGTTTTATTATATTCTGTGTATATATGTTTTTTTCTTTTTAGAGACACAGTCTTACTTTATCAGCCCTGGTAGAGTATTGTGGCATCACAGCTCACAGCAACCTCCAACTCCTGGGCTTAGGCGATTCTCTTGCCTCAGCATCCTGAGTAGCTGGGACTACAGGCACCCACCACAACGCCTGGCTATTTTTTGTTGCAATTTGGCCGTGGCCTGGTTCGAACCCACCATCCTCAGTGTATGGGCCAGTGTCCTACTCCCTGAGCCACAGTCACGGCCCTATATTCTGTGTATTGTTAAACTATCCATATTTAACAGTTCTTGTTAGAAGTAAAGAATAAGTCGTTCTTATCTGTAGACCAGTGTCAGAAGCTGATTGCTTACATGTGAAGGGAGTTCTTAATAAAGATCTGATTGTCTAGATTCTAGAGAATATATTTTTGTTCTTTCAGAAGCAGATGGGTGAGCTGAAACTACAACTTGAAAATGTCATCAAAGAAAATGAAAGGTATCTATTATCTATTGGCTCTTTAAATATTGTCTTAGGTAACTTTTATTTTTGTTATCTGACTTTTGATACCTAGAGGATAATGGTGAAGAGTGGATTCTGGGGCCTGATTTCTTTTTTTTTTTTGTTTTTTTAAATTGAAATAGTCTCACTTTGTCACCCTCGGTAGAATGCTGTGGCATCATAGCTCACAGCAACCTCAAACTCCTGGGCTTGAGCAATTCTCCTGCCTTAGCTTTCCTAGTAACTGGGACTACTGGCTCCATTACCTATTAGCTGTGTGACCCAGGAACTGTTACTTAACCTTTTTCTGTTTTAATTTTCTCATCTCTAAGTTGGAGCTAATAGCAGAACCTGTTTCATAGGGCCACCTGTTAAGGGATATAGTAGGTGCCTGGAGTAGAGTACATAATAAGCACCTTATAAATATCACATATTGGCAATAAATACTGTAGTGTATTATATATATTTGTGTATGTTAGGAAACATTGATGAAATGAAAACTTGTCAACCTACCAACCGGCTTAAGAGCTGAAATGTTGCCAGTATTGGGCATCTGTCCCATGTTTTCACATTCTTCCTCTTCCTTCTGCCAGAGGTAAATACTATCTTGAATTTTGTGTTTATCATTCCCTTGCTTTTAAAGGTTTTTGTAGGTATGTATGTCTCTAAATAATATATTGTTCAGTTTCGCATTTTTAAAAACTGTCTGAAAATGATATCATCTAGTGTTCTGGGACTTTTTTCACTCAATGTCACATACAAGTGCAAGAGTTTTAAAGAATGAAATTGGTGGGCTGTAGGTTATAAGAATGTTCGATTTTGTAATGTAATGTCAACTTGATGTCCAAAGTAGCTGTACCAGTTTACATTCTTACCAGTGATACATATGAGTTCACATAGATCTGTATATTTTACCAGCACTGCCTTTTATCGGGCATAGTTTTTCATTGTGGTTTTCATTTGTATTTTCCTGAATACTGATATGGTTGATCATTTTTTATGTTGATTTGCCCATGTGGTTTTCTTTTCTCATGAAATACTTGTTCTTTTCTTTACCCCATTTCTATTTGCTTATCTTTTCCTTATTAAATTGTCAAAGTACTTCATGTGATCTATCTTGTGAATATTTGTTGGCATGCCAGCCAGTGTCAATGCAATAAACATTATTCTAGAAATTTCAAGGTATTTTAAACCTCTCAGCATTCTCCTGTGATTATTGGTCTTTGTTTCTCCTTTAAGAAGTCTTTTCTCAACCTAAGGGGATAGAGATCTTCTCCTGTATTTGCTACTAAAAAATGTTTAAAGCTTATTCTAAGTGCAGGTTTCTTACTTTTTATTTTACTGAATGTATTTCCATCTATATTCATTAAAAGGTGAAAGATTTATATGATCTGAAGAGATTGTTCTTTAGTTTTTGTTTTGTTTTGTTCTTTCCTCGCTTTGGTATCAGGGTGATATCTGCTTCATAGAAAGATTTGGGGAAGGTTCCTTTTCAGTGTTAAAATCTATTTCCCCCTTTCACTTTCAATTAAGCTTATTAGAGACCTGTCTTTATTTTCTGTGTAATCTAGCCAAAGGATTATCAATTTTATCTTTTCAAAGAACCAACTTTTGCTTCATTAATCTTCTGCATGGGTCTTTTATTCTTGATTTCATTTAGTTCTGATCTGATCTTCGTTATTTCTTTGCTGCTGCTGGGTTTGGGGCTAATTGCTCTTCCTTCTCCTGTTTCTCGAGATGATTCATTATATTGTTGAATTGTGATCTTTCTGATTTGTGGGTGTGGCCATTTAAGTTAATGGGTTTCCCTCTCTAGACTGCCTTTGCAGTGTCCCACAGATGGTCTGTGACCCAATTGTCATTTTGTTCAAAGAATCTGTTGATTTCCATCTTTATCTCCTTGACCCAACTATTATTCAATAACAAGTTGTTTAGTTTCCAGGATTTTTGTGAGGATGAGTGTTCCTTCTGGAATTGATTTCTAATTTTATTTCACTGTGGGCTGTAAAGATACCTAGTATAATTTCTTTTTTGTTTGTTTGTTTAATTTGTTGAGAGTTGTTTTGTGGCCTAGGATATGATTGATATTGGAGAACATTCCATGTGCTAGTAAGAACAGCATATGTTCAGTAGTGTTGGGGTGGGATGTTCTCTAGATGTCTGTTAAGCCCATTTGTTCTTGAGTTGAGTTTAAGCCCAAAGTTTCTTTGTTTAATTTCTGCTTAGGGGATCTGTACGTCAGTGGGGTGTAAAAGTCCCTGGCTATTACAGTGTTGTTGTTTGTCATTTTGTTTAGATCAAGTCATCTTTATTTCATAAATTTGGGAGCACCTAAGTTGTGTGCATAGACATCTAGAGTTGATATGTCTTCTTGTTGAATTGTTCTCTTGAACAATATATAATATCAATCTTTGTCTTTCTTTTACTTTGGTTGCTTTAATGTTGCTGGTATTGGCAGTGAGTATTGTTAACATCTGTTTTCTTTTGGTTTGCTTTTTAATGGAATATTGTTTTCAGCCCTTCACTCTGAGTATGGATGTGTCCTTGAGGATTTGATGCATTTCCTGAAGGCAGCAGATACTTGGCTTCCATTTTTTAATCCAGTCAGACAACCTGTGTCTCTTCTGTGGAGAATTTAAGCCATTCACATTTATTGAGAGCATTGATAAGTTGGTTGGATTTCTGTTTTTCCTGTTTTGTGGGGCTCTGTTTCTTCATTTTACTGCTTTGGCCATTGTGGAATCTAGCCTTTGACCTTCAGTTTCTGGGTAATTTTACATTGGTGGGTTGGTCCATGTATCAAGGAAATCTGAGTACCTTCTGCAGGGCAGGTCTAGTTGTGACACATTTCCTCAGAGTTTGCTTGCTGGGGAAATATTTTATTTGACCATCAAATATGAAGGTTAGTTTTGCAACATACAGAATCCTGAGCAGCAGTTGTTCTGTTTAAGAAGATTGAAGATAAAGGCCCACTCCGTTCTGTGTTACAGGGTTTCAGCTGAGAAGTTAGTTGTTAACCTCATACGTTTACCCTTGTATGCTAGATGTTGCTTACCCCTGTTTGGGTTTTTTTTGTTTGTTTTGGATGTTTTATTTATTTATTTATTTTTTGGAAGCAGAGTCTCACTTTGTCACCCTTGGTAGACCTTGTTAAAGTGTCGTGGTGTCATAGCTCACAGCAACCTCAAACTCTTGGACTCAAGTAATTCTCTAGCCTTAGGCTCCCGAGTAGCTGGGACTATAGGTGCCCACCACAATGCCTGGCTTTTTTTTTTTTTTTTTTTTTTTTAATAGACAGGGACTTACTCTGGCTCAGGCAGGTTTCAAATCTGTGAGCTGAGTCAGTCCATCTGCCTCAGCCTCCAAAGTGCTAGGATTACAAGTGTTAGCCACTGTGCCCGGCCTAGCTATTTAAAGAATTTTTCACATTTTGATTAGTCAGGTTAATTACATCATGTCTTGGAGGTGCTGTACTTGAACTGAGTCTTCCTAAAGTTCAATATTCATCTGATGTCTGTGTCTCTGGTGAAGTTTGAAAACGTTTCAATGATAATGTCTTCAACTAGAGTTCCATGCTTTTGGGACGCTCTTCTCTCTCAGGGATACCCATATCTGTGAATTTGTGCACTTTGTGTACTCCCAAATCTTTCTATAAGATTGCTCTGGGTTTGTTCTCTTCTCTTCTGCCTCTTTAAATGACTGGGTTAGCTCCAGAGCCTTGTCTTCAAGCTGTGAGATTTGTTCTTCACCTTGATTAAATCTGTTGCTGAAGCTCTGCTGTGTTTTAAACCCCCCTGAATGCCTTTTTCATTTATTTAAGTTCAATTACATACTTCTTAATTTTGTCCAGATCCTTAGTGAATTTGTCTTCATCTTCGTTAATTTCTTAAGTCATATTTTGGTCTTTCTTTTTTCTGGTTTTCAACTTTTTCTTCAATTTTATTTATCTTATTTGCCATCCATATTCTGAATTCCATTTCTGTTATTTCAATATTTCTTTATGGTTGGGATTTTCTGCTATATCTATTTTCTGCTATATATTGTTATTCTGGGGAAGAGTTGTTCTGTTTTGAGTTTTCATGTTGCCAGAATTCTTTTCCTAGGTTCTTCCTAATGTATGTTCTCTTTTTTCATCTCTAAGCTAAAGGGTTAAGATACCCCTCCATCTTAGTTGGAGTTATTTTTGTTCACATTGAATAGGGAGAGATTACTAGATGGCACTTTAATATCAGCGGTAACAGTAGCTGATGGATGCTGTTTTCTTTGCTGAGCCTAGCTTGGTGCAGGGTTCACCAGTCTTTTAGCTTGAAGTATGAAGTGGGACTTCTGTCTCTGCTCTGGTAGCAGAAGTTCTAGGGTTGGGCTCTGTGGGCCCAGTGCAACACTGATTTGGAGGTGGTGCTGCAGGCCTGGGGTGGGGTGGGGACAGGTGAATTCTCAGGGGAGGCTCTTACATAGAGGAATCTGGGGCTGGAATGGAGACTATGATTTAGTGACTTGTGCAGGGCCAGAATCCAGGAGATCTGTGGGGAGGGGCAAGCCTACTCTGATCTGTTTGACAAAACAGGGTCATAGGGGTGGGCATCAGCCCAGTATTGGAGTGTGATGCCCAAGCCCCTTGGATGACAGACTAAACTTTTGGTCTTTAGAACCTCTGGGAAGCCCTATCAAGTGGGGCTAGTGTGGGTTTGTGGTATTCTTCACATCCCTCCTGTACTCCTCTAAAGTAGAGCGGTGGCCTGTTGTTTCCCCAGTGGATGGTGGCCTGCTGGGCTCCACCCCTGCCAGTTCCCTTGCCCCAATCTCCTGTGCTTCATGAGGGAGGCTCTTGTTTTCAGGTCCCCAGCTGTGACTTACCAACTGCAAGTTTATCTACTCCCTCTCCAGCTTGCCCCAGGCTACTGTGGTGGACTTGGCAGGTCAGGGTGGTTCCCAGCTGGTGTTTGTACCTCTCTATGCCCTTGTGGGGCTTTGTGCCTACTGTGTAGCCACCCAGTAGCTCAGATCACTCAGCAGTCTCCATGCAGAGTCTCTGCTTCTGTGCTGCACAACTCCCTATTCCCTGTTTCTTTTGTTACTTTCCTTTTTTTTTTTCCCCTGCTCCTGCTTTAGGTGTCCCACACTGGCTTTCTGTCCCTTCACAGTGCTGTTTCTCTGTGGAGCAAATCAAATGGCAGCCGCTGCTTGTGCTTCTCCCTACTTTTCTTGGGAGAGGCTGTTGAGAAGTTGCTTCTAATCTACGATCTTTCCCCTTTGCCATACTTAGTTTTGTTTTTTGGGATTTTTTTGAGAAGGAATCTCACTTGGTCACCCTTGATAGAGTGCTGTTGCATCATAGCTCACAGCAACCTCAAACTCTTTGGCTCAGATGATCCTCTTGCCCCAGCTTCCCAAGTAGCTGGGACTATAGGAACTGGCCACAATGCCCTGCTATTTTTTTTTTTTTTGGAGATGGGGGTCTCGCTCTAGCTCAGGCAATTGACTGCTCTCAGCCTCCCAGAGTGCTGAGATTATAGGTGTGAACCACTGTGCCTGGCTCATCACTGTGGAGTGCTCAGAAGTAAAATGTGCCAATTGAGGTGTGTAGCCATTGCAACAACTGGATGTTCTTTGGTTTCTTACTAATCAAAATAAATAACCCAAGTTGGTTTCAGTTTCAATATTTTATATTTATTTTAAAAGTGATATGCAAACAAAAAAAATTAATATGAAATTATAAAGCTTTGCCCTATCAATAAAAATTTAAATTTTAAATAGGTTCTACTCCTTCATTTTCCAAATCAGATTCTGAGGTACTTGACAGTTTATATTTTTTTCTGAGGAGTATTTTTAAAGCCACCTCTGTATCCAAATTCTTCAACAATAATTAAGTCTTATGAATTTGATGAATCTTTCAATTTATTGCGCTCCACATTTACACATACTCCCATAAGAATCCACTATTTGTAGAAATTATTTCAAGCAAAACTGTGATAAATATTGAGAAGAAAGTGTATGATGCTTACATACTCAAGTCAGGTAACATAACAGTGACTGTATTTTTGTTTGCAAAATGAACTAGGCCTACTGGAGTCATTAATACCGAGGAAGATCTTGTGGTGAATGCCTAAAGGCGTCTTTTGCACCAAACAGAAATCTTGTTCACAGTTAAAAAGGTTAATTCTCAGTGTCTCTAATGTTTCAAGTTATAGTGTACTAAATGTTAATTTTAGTATTTTTCATTTTCTTTTATAATTAATTTAAAATTATTAGGAGAATTGATAGAAGATGATACAGATAACTATATGATGGAAATGATCAAATATTGATATCATCGTTAAAATATTTACAGAAAATGTTTTATAAAATGAGAGAATGCCTGTTTTAATAATACAGTATAAAAAGCAGATTTTAATATTATATTAGGCATATGACATATCTATTTAATCTTAAATGGAAAGTAAAAACTCTGCTAGAAAGTAATTCACAGCTTTAAAAATTATTTTTCTCTGGGACATGAGTATCTTTTCTAAAATTCTTATTGTATTTCTGTATTGGGTCCTTTTTCTCTAGGAAGTAAATATTTTACATAGGAAAAGAAAATATCTGTGGCAGTGCCTGTGGCTCAGTGAGTAGGGCACCAGCCCTGACCAAACTGCAAAAAAAAATAGCCTGGTGTTGTGACGAGTGCCTGTAATCCCAGCTACTCAGGAGGCTGAGGCAAGAGAATCGCCTAAGCCCAAGAGCTGGAGATTGCTGTGAGCTGTGACACCATAGCACCTCTACCAAGGGCCACAAAGTGAGACTCTGTCTCTAAAAGAAAAGAAAAGATTTTTTAAGATAGTATCAGATATTTAAAATATTTAGTTAAAAATAAAAATGTGTTCTCGATACTTTTAAGTATGTATTTTTTAAATTAGAAAATAATTAGCAAAGAAGTAATTAGGAAATAATTACTGTAGGAAGTAATTTTTTGTTGTTCCTAAAATATTTGTTTCCTTGGTTTTATTTTATTTGATGAACTTTGTTTTTATTTTATTTTTTTTTTTGAGACATAGTCTCACTTTGTCACCATTGATAGAGTGCTGTGGCATCACAGCTCACAGCAACCTCAAACTCTTGGGCTTAAATGATCCTCTTGCCTCAGCCTCCCAAGTAGCTGGGACTACAGGTGCCCACCACATGTCCAGCTATTTTTTTTAGAGACAAGGTCTCTCTCTGGCTTAGGCTGGTCTCAAACCTGTGAGCTCAGGCAATTGACCTGCCTCAGCCTTCCAGAGTGCTAGGATTATAGATGTGAGCCCCTATGCCCTGCCTGAACTTTGTTGTTAATAATTATCTTTTAAAAATTAAGCTTAAATTTTTCTAGTTTTAAAAGAGAGTTTTGTGATATCACTAAATAATTCTCTAAATTTTTGAGGTAGGTGGACGTGGTTTCTTTCATAATTTTCACTTTAAAATGTATTTACTGTGAATGATATTTTCTGCCTATAATTATGTAAAATAACTGTTTTCAAGTTTTTTCTATACCTTTCTTCTTAAGTTTAAAGAATCACTGTGCTTTTGTTTTTTTTTTTTTAGTTGTTTTAAAGTTATCTGTAGTTTACCTTAATGTTAAGATTAAAGTTGAATTTAAGGTTTTTTTTTTTATTATGGTCAAGTTTATTAAGGATGTGCTGAAAAATAAAGCTTTTAATAGTTTTGGTTTCATGACCAATAACCATTATATCTTGATCTGTTGTTTAACTGGAACAAGTCCAATGAGTTTTATAAAACACACTAAAGAAAATAACAAGTAATTCTATAAGATTTAATATACTATTTTCATTTAAAACTACTATGGTATTTTAAACTTTTTTCTGAATGGCTTGTTTTATCATTTACTATCTCTAGATAAATTGAACTATGCTTAAACTAATTATGATTATGTTAATGCATTTGAAATTGTTATATACTGTTTATTCACATAGTGTAATAGTTAATAGTGATTAAATATGTCTAATTTTTTATTTGATTTTGTGTAAAGTATTATTTTTGACCCAAATGTTCATTGAATAGACCTCATAACAGTAACGTTATTAAAATGAATTTAGATTTTTCATCTAAACTGTTTCTTCCAAAGGTTACACAGTGAATTAAAAGACGTTGTTGAAAAGCAATTGGAGGCCCTTCCCCTTGACACAGAGATAGGAATAGCTATAAGTACAGATGATGAAACAGTCAGAAACCTTCAAGAACAATTGCAACTAGCCAATCAAGTGAGTTATATATATTTAAAAAATTATACATTAAGGTAATAGAGCTTTTAAAAACTGCATTAATCATTATTTATGAATAGTAAGAGAATAAAATATTTTTTGATTTTCTACAATTTATAAAAATTGTTATAGGTAGTAAGACTTGTAACAAACAACCTCACTGTTACTAATATAGTTGCCAATGTGCACTGTAATTGAATCGTAACACTTTTGACATGATTTTTTTGTCTTATGAGAATATTTTAATGTCAAAGGAAATTATCAAAGGAAAAAAATCAATTATCTTATTTACCTAAATTTATACTTTTCATTTTTCCTTGTTTTCTTCTTATACTGTTTTCTTTAATTTCCAGAAATTGTAATACTATATTTTATGATGTTATATTTCTAGAATTAAACTGCTTTTCCTTTTTTCTCTTTATAATAATTGAAATCTTTGGGATCTTGTTTTTTTTGGGGGGGGGGATCTTGTTTTTTAACACTGTAATTTTTGTGTATTTACATGTAATGAAATTTTATTTTAATTTACAATTTTATATCCCAAGTGCCTTGTACCTTGCATGGGTTTAAATCTCCATTCTTCTGTTTGTGCCTCAGTTTCCTTATTTATCAATGGGAATTAGAAATTCTAGATTTCAGTTTTGATTTTGTAATTGTCTATAAAAAAAGTCATGGTTTTATTCCTTGGAATTGGGTTTTAGAATTCTTTACATTTGAAAATGATATTTTAGGTAAATGAGGAAGATTGGATTTAGTTTGATAAGGAAAAGTATTAACAGTGAATTTTTTAAAAATTTGTATGAAGAGAAGCATTACTTTTAAAAAGTAATGAAGGAAAGACGAGGAAAACATGTTCTAATCTAGGAGGATTTATAATTGTATAGAGGTCAATAGAAATTAATTTAGACTTATAAGTGTTTTCTAACCAGATATTCGATATGTATTTCAAAAGCTGTACCACAATTTTCATTTCTTAATACTTCTGAAGTTTAAGAAATCTATAAAACAATACTGCCAAATGTTACTTTGGTTTATTACTTATACATATGTGTTTAAAACAAACTTTTTAAAAAAACAAATACGAACATAAGCATGCATTCCATTAGTCCTCAGAACAATGATGACATCATATCATATGAACTTTAGAAAACTCCACTGTACACTTGTGAAAGGATGAAAGTGAAAAAGGCAAATAATGTATCATATTATTCCAAACATAATTGGAGTCCTATTGATACCAAATTTTGCTCTTCAGTAGATTCTTGGTCTCAGTGATGCCAAGAATGAATCCATGGACCACAGGTCAGTGGTTAGACAGGATTTATTTACAGAAAAGAATATAGAAGCTCCAGAGTTCCTGGCAGAGAGAGAAAACCCAAGTTGGGAGAGAAAAGCTCTGTCTCTGTGCGGCTTCTGTGGCTCAAAGGAATAGGGTGCCTACCCCATATGCTGGAGGTGGTGGGTTCAAACCCAGCCCCGGCCAAAAACTGCAAAAAAAAAAAAAAAAAAAGCTCTCTCTCTGTCTAAGGATATATATAGTCACATGGGGCCCTCTGTAGTTACATTTAGTGGTCTGGGACCCTCTGTAGTTACATTTAGTGGTCTGGGACCCTCTGTAGTTACATTTAGTGTGTCTGGGACCCTCTGTAGTTATATTTAGCCTGTCTGGGACATGTCCAGGAGGTAAATGAATGGCTACAATGCCTTTCATTCCCAGGCCTAGGAAATTTACATGAAATTGGTGAGGCCTAGAAAATGGGATTTTCCTGTTTAGCCTAAGGTGCTGTTGTCTGTCCAGCAGTTGTCTGGCCCCTCTGTCTACGGGAGCCTCCTGCAGGGCCCTGCTGCCTACCCTCCAGCCCGCTGGTTCCTCTGCTCCCTGATGCAGCATCAACACTGCCAAGGCAGAGGCCCCTGGTTAGCGCCCGCCTCCAGCTCCAGGGATGGCAGGGATGGCCACTTGTCCTGTATCACTCTTAAAGGGTCTAAGGGTTTCCGTATCACACTTTGATAATGCTGTATTCAAAGAACAACAATGAGGTAATTTTCATTATAAAATGCTAAGTGCAAATAGCATAATGCACACAGTATACTATATGAATACTAATTTTGTTAAAAGAAAAAATTACAATATTCTCTCCCAGAATCACATTTGTAAACGTGACTGGAGGTGACATTTCTAAAGATGATTACATTGATGCTAGTAATATTTATT